AAAATCCTGAGTAACAAAAGATCTTTCAGATCTTACTTCTAAATGTGCAAAAGTCTTTAGAAAAGCCTGTGTGGGACTGGAATTTATATGCATGCCAGTTTATATACAAACAGATTATGCTCGTAAAGCATTTAACCATCTCAGTTAAAGACCAAGCAGCTGCATTTATGAAATCTGCTGAGCAGTTCGATTTGGTTCTGTATTTAATGGCTTAGCGTGTAGTTCAATCCCAGCTTGTTTGATTAGTTTATTGAATGAATGCAGAAAATCACTCATTTCAGCAATCAGGTTAAGCATGTTATATGAACACAACCATAATTGTAGTCTTGTATCTATTCCCTAAATACTCACATATGTATTGCCATATTTGTTTCCAAATCTGACCCTCTCATGATGTAAATCAGGCTTAACAGGTAAACTGGTATTTTTAAAAGTCCTTGTTTTTAATAAATGTTATCTTCATGGAAATAATTCAGATCATGAACAGACCATTTAAATTACACCCTTTTTGTTGACTTACAAGGAGCCTTATGTCTACATAATGATAATGATTAACACACTGACTTACAATGATAGGGTCATAAGATAATGTAGCTCTAACACTGGCTTCCCAGTGACAATTGAACTTGGCATGGAGGTTTTGTCACCTCTGTAACTTCAATTATTAACTCTGCCTTCAGGGCCACACAATACAGTGCAATCTCGTTAAATTTAAAGAGAGTAACTATAACTTCTTTCCATTGAACTACATTTGCCTTGTCTTTGAGATATCTACTATATGTATATTATCTTGGAAGTCAGTGTTGATATGTTGAACCAAAGATTTATGGAACCTTACATTTTATCAACTAAGGATATCTTACTCGTTTCTGTTTACATGTTGAACTTTACATAGCTGGCCTTGATTTGACTACATTTTTAAGGTTTATGTAATGTATCTATTCAGCATACAAGGTAATTTAGGTTAAATTCCTGTGGGGAAAATACAGTGTGACATAGTACATCTTAGTTACATCTTAGCTTTATGTTTCTGTACTTTAGAGCAGTGTTTCTCAGCCTTGACAATTTAAAGAAGTGTGGACTTCTTCAACTCCCAGAATTGCCAAGCTAGCATGGGAATTCTGGGAATTGGAAATCCACAATTCTTAATGTCACCAAAGTTGAGAAACAATGCTTTATTTAGGGAGTTGCCAAACATGTTTATATCCATGCAAAGACAATAGAAGTGCTTCTATATGGTGGTGAGACCATATGATGGGCTAAGTTTGAAAATTAATTGCTGTAGAAGTTTGTCAGTGGCACAAAGAGGCACTCAACTTCTCTAAACATGACTCTTTGCATGAACATCTATCTGTGATGCCTTGTAGGAAACCTTTCTATATCACTAGATGATTAATGTGTTCCAGAATAGCTTCCAAACAATATAGTGCCTCTATCAAACGCCATGGAGATGTTCTTGTATAGGAATGTCATATAAATTCAGGCTCCCTGTATTATTCTTAAAATAATGAGCCTGGCTCTGCAGGGTATTACATATCTATGCCTTTTTATGAATTGCTAATTTGTAGTAGTGAAAGGGTTTGTACACCCCAGTGAGGTTATGAACTTTACTTATGGAGCATACACTCCATGGATGGCCCCGGAAGACAGATTGGCAATTAATAACAGAATTCTGTCAAGAAAACCAAACAGATGTTTAAATCAGGACAGCATGGATATTGGGAGATGAGTCTTCCAGGCTAGAATATATCCAAAGAGCAAAAAGAGAACATGAGTTATATCTGAATAAGTAAGCCAAAGAAATTAAAGATAACAAGAACGTAAAGTATTTATTTAAGAAAATTATGGAAACCAACAGAATTAAAGATAAAGAAGGCAAGGATCTATTGTAGAAAAAAGATAAAACAAATGATGTGAATATACTAAGAAATTGGACAAAAATATCTCTACATTGGTGATATGGATTAAGATTGGACCACTGAACTAGAACATTCTGGAAAGTGAAGATAAATGGGTCCTAGAAAATATTCCTAAGAAAAGCTGTAAGTTTTGAAAAATGCAGCAGTAACCAAACAACTGTAAAAGATGTATTTACATTCGAATACCTGTACTAAAAAGGGCATTGCTATAAATGCTCAGACTGTGGAAAAACTAGGGTTATCTCACATGCTAATAAAATAGTGCTCAAGATTTTACAATCTTCAACAGTTCATGGAATGAGAACTACCAGATATACTGTATATGCTGGATTCTGAAGAGCCAAGGACACCCGAGAGCCCATTGCTAAGATCCATGGATAATGAGAAACACAAGGCAGATCCAAGAAGATGTCACTTTTTGCTTTGTTGATTATACTAAGGCTTTTGACTATGTAAAGCAGAACAAATTGTGAATAGTTCTTTAAAAAAATGGGTGAGCCACCTCATCTGCCTTTTGAAGAAATTGTACAATGACCAGAAAGCAACAGTTAGAAGTGAACGTGGAGAAACTAAATTGTTCAGAATTGAGCAAGGGTATATAATAACATTTATTATATACAGAATATGCAGAATATATCATAAATACAAGCATGAGGTCCCTGGTTATTACAGCCTCTAGAACCTAGAATTTATTTGAAACTCTAATATTGCAAGAATTTAGGAAATTAAAGGAAAAGAAAGAGGAAAGAATAGTAACACCTTGAGTTACATATATACATATATACATGTATGTTTTTGTTCCATATAGTTCCATTTTCCTTCCTATGTAAAATATATTCAGGAAGTAATTTACTGCCTTATAACCTCATAAAAATAAAATTACTAATGTAAATCTCTTGTCTGCAGTAGTATTTTCCATGTTCCAGACTCAAAACATCTTTTCTGATTGTTAACCTGTGTTAAATTTAATTTGTGTAACCTCATTACTTCAGGGTTTTTTTTTGTTTGTTTACACCTTCCAGCTATTTTTTAGACTTGGAAGGTAATATCCATTGTATAACTTTATAAAAAAAGATGGAGTCAGTGATATGGTTTGTGCTCTGTGGTTACGTTGTAGTTATAGGGCCAAGAGGCATGTTCTCCATTTATCTTTGATTCACCATAAGCAGCCCTTACTAGTGGCAACAGTCTTTTTGCAATCTGTAATACATTCACTGTCTCCATTGGTCAGACTTTTCCTAAGCTACTTGACAATCTAGCCTCTTATAGAGGCACTCTTTACTGCTGTTTGAGTTTCCTCTTGCTACTAATTTTCCTCATCAAACTAACATAGACCTTGCAAAGCTTTTCATATTTCATTCATGCAGAAAGGAATGTTTATAATAGGTTTATTTAAATAATGTACATTATTAATATGATTACCTACAGACTGCCTAATTAATATATGGCCATCATGGAGTCTCTTTACCACTTCTTTCAGATTCTCCGTATTTTGCTGTTGAAATACAGTGATGTGTGTATGTTTATTGTCCTTTTAACCCAGTTAAAAGCAAGTGGATACATTATGCATAGGACACCTATTGTATTTAATTCCCATCTACATCCCAACAGGATTACCAAGCTATACATTTTGTCAATATCTTCTCCAGTGATATTATGGTACAGGGCTGCCTCATATTTTTTTCATAAAATTACAGTTCTAACCATTAAAAATTACCTCACATTGTAATATAGTAAAATAGAGCCTGAATGCTTGGTGCTAGACATACAGTATCTATTCTTGGTTTATAGTTCAGGTTCCCTCATTTCAGTCATGTTTGTTTATGTCGATCAACACATGTATGCCTATTCATTAATAATAGCCCACTGTTTGTTCTGTTTCCTATTTTTGTTAAATATCACTTCCCTAGAACTTATTTAGACTTTTGAACCTCATGAGTAAAATTAAATAAGGAAGAGCATTTTTTTTCTCAAGAAAAGTTGCTTATGTTACTGACTGAGACATTCTGTTATAACAGTAGCAAAGTGCTGGCCTTGAATCTTAATTTTAGATGGTGACCTTTATGCATTGTTTAATGTGCAGCATGAGGGGATCTTCCTATAACATTACCATTTTCCTATATCCCAAACAGATGTCAAACTGTACAACTAGCAATAATTTTTCTACTTCCTGTGGCTGTAAGAAAGCATATATTTTAGCATTCCCATTTGGGGACATTAATCCAAACAGTTCCCAGACTTCCTGTGGTGCCTACATTTTTCCATTCCACATCTGTGCAGTGGCTTCGACTATCGCTTACAGAAGTATATGGAGTATAAGTGAGATAACCATTCCAGTGGAATGCACATTTCCCAAATACATTCGAAATTATCTCTGGATGCCGGACACTTGAAATATCAGTCACGAAAGTGTACTGCTTGTAATGAAAATTGTGCTATTCCAAATATTTGGTAGGTGTATAAATCGGTTATGCTTAACTGTCCATTAAATATAGCTTTACACATGCTGAGTGCATTTCATGGATTTTTTTAAATGAAGCATCTTAATAAAATTCTGTCTGAAATCTGAAATCTTTCAGAAAGGGAAAGATATCAATTATTTTGAATTATGCTTTATGGGAAGATGGTATGTATTTTTATGTATTAATACAAAACTACTGTATATATTACAGCAAAGTAATACTAAAAATCTTGGTACAGACTCTGAGACTTAGAATGCTGTCCAGTTCACAGCACACTGGGAAAAATGCTATGTATCCTCCAGCTTTAGTAGAATAGTATGTAATGTATCAACTGAAAGGCAAGGCTTTTCAGTTCTTTGCTAGGAACCCACAGTGCTTCTCAAATCTTGAAAATGTGAGTCTTAAAATGATCCACCTTTACTGGATCTTGTTTTCAGTACTGCTCATTTACTTTTGCAGTCTCTGTCTTAAGTATTCTAATCCATTGTATCATCTGCAACAGTAGAAAAACATGGAAATGGACTTCAGTGAGAATGACTCAGTGTAAACAAAATTGATATCTTGTCATTCCTTTCTGTAGTTTACCAAAATTTTATTATTTTTTCTTGTTATCTTCCAGGTTATTGAAGGGAAGCTGGCCCCTTTCCTTGGGAAAGTAATAAAATTTGCTACCTCCCATGTTTACAGCTGCAGCCTTTGTAGTCAAAAGGGATTCATCTGTGAGATCTGTAATAATGGTGAAATTCTGTACCCCTTTGAGGACAGTTCTACAAGCAGGTTAGAAATTACAATTTTTGAGTTATATGACATATTACTACTAGAGTTCCATAGAAAAATGCAACAGAATAACTGAACTATGGAAGAACCCAGCTCATGCTATTTGCTACCTAAACATTTGGTAATGGTGTAAATAACCTACTACAGCGGAAAATGATGATTCGGGCACTGAATTTAACATATGTATAAGTGCTATCAGGGCAAGAGTTTGATTAATTGGAAAAGTGATTCCTTGTAAAAACTGTAAAAAGCATGTTCTAAGGTTTCAAATTCATCAGAACCACAGGAGCATTGTCTCTGTGAAAGTGTAGTCTGGTTATATCTATGGTTCATGTTTCCAGAGGGAAGGAGATTGAAGCATGCTCTGGAGAAGTCCCATTCTCTTTGAAGGGGATAGGATAGCTTGTACAGGTATTGTGAAGGTTGCAGTTCCCTGGATTTGTTATAAAGTTGGTACAGCTTTAGGGCAGCTGCTAGGTCAGGGGTAGGCAACCTTGGGTCTTTTATGACTCATGGACTTCAACTCCCAGAATTCCTGAGCCAGCGCTTGGCTCTTTTATGACTCATGGACGTCAACTCCCAGAATTCCTGAGCTATGCTGGCTCAGGAATTCTGGGAGTTGAAGTCCATGAGTCATAAAAGAGCCAAGGTTGCCTACCCCTGTGCTAGGTTATACTGGAAGTGTTCTTTGTCTGATGGCATTAAGCAATAGGCCAGTGGTGGCGAACCTATGGCACGGGTGCCAGAGGCGGCACTCAGAGCCCTCTCTGTGGGCACCCGCATGCCGTCGCCCCAGTCCTAGGCCTTCAGCTGGGTTTTATAAAACCTTTTCGCTTTAGGCCTCCGCCGCCATGTGCAAAAAAAAAAAAAAGGTTCAATCAATCAATAAATTTCAACTTCTCACGAGTAAAAACAAGATCTTGCAAATTTGGAATTGATTGATTGAACTTTTTAGTCCCACCCAGTCTGCCGTTACCACCGCAGCCACGCCCACCCAATGGGTCACGCCCACCCAGCACCCGACGATGCATAAGTGGGTTTTGGGTTGCAGTTTGGGCACTCGGTCTCTAAAAGGTTCGCCATCACTGCAATAGGCACTTCATATGCCCACATGTTATCACTATGACATGAGCTGTATTGGTTACCAGTCAGTTTCCAGCTGAAATCCAGGTGCTGCTTATTACCTATTGTGGCATAGCGTCTAGTTATCTGAGTTTTCTGAGGGCTACCTCTCATCAAATGTTTCTGCCCACCTGGCAAGTTCCAGCAGAATGGTCCCTGCAATTAAATATTGTCATCTTACGGGGCCAAAGAAACTCCTGCAGGCCCTGCTGTCTGGAAGGAGTTTCCCCAACCCCTCTCCCAGGTAATCTTGGACTTATGACCATAATTGAGCCCAAAATTTCCATTGTTAAGCAACACATTTAAGTGGATTTTGCCCATTTTACGACCTTTCTTGCCACACTTGTTAAGTGAATCATTGTAACTTTGCTTGTCAGAAGGTTGCAAAAGGTGGTCACATGACCCAGGACACCGCAACCGTCTTAAATGTGAGTCAGTTGTCAAGCATCCAGATTTTGATCATGTGACCATGGGGATGCTGCAATAGTCGTAAATGTGGAAAAATGATCATAAGTCATAAGTCATTTTTTTCAGTGCTATTGTAACTTCAAACAGTCACTAAACAAACGGTTGTAAATTGAGGAATACCTGTATGGTGCCCTCTTTCCTAAGTTAAAGAAGCCGTTAAAGCCTGGCTGTTAAGGTGTTTGTGGAGCCCCTGTCATATTTTCTGATTGTTCTGATTGCTTTTTAGTCTGCTGTATTTTGTAATTATGTTCTTAATTGTTTTAATTCTATAGCCCAGTGTTGTAAGCTGCCCAGAGTATTACAGAGTAGGTGACCATAATAATTTTAAATCATCATCATCTTCACATTTTCAGTGGCATGTTTAAGTGCAAAATTAGTTCAATTATTCATCTCTAAACCATGAAACTCCCATAAAATTATTTTTAAAATGCTTCCCTCTTATATGCCCTATACCAGTGATGGCGAACCTTTTAGACACCGAGTGCCCAAAAACCACCCTGCCTCCTCCCCACCTGCCTGCAGGGCCACCTATCGCCTCCACGGCCCGCCGCAGCAAATCGCCCAGATGGCCCTGCATCACCATGGTGGCCACACCCTCTGCCCGCATCCCGCAGCATCAACTGTGTGCGACAGGGCACAAGGACAGATTCTTGTCTCCACTGCCCAGCTGCTAAGTCCTTGGCTGCACTGATCCATGTGGGCGCGCCCAGGGGCAACTCTCCTCAGGGGGACTGCTAGTGAGGAGGGGGCCGTAGCGGGAGGTAGGGCTGGGGCAACCACGCATGCCCAAAAAGAAGGCTCTGCGTGCCATAGGTTCGCCACCACTGCCCTATACCCTGAAGCCCTTTGTTTTTTAATTCAGTGTGTGGCCTGACCAGAGAAAAGTTGTCTGCGTAACTGGAATACGGGTAGCCAAGGCGCAAGATATAGTGAAATTAATGACTACAAATCTTTTAGTTCTGTTGTTAGTTTTTTCCTTGTTTTTTTCTGGTTTTTTTCAAGTGTCAAAATCTAGAAGTAAGTTAAATGAGGTATATAGCCACCCCTATATGAATACTCCATCAAAAACAAGAGCAGGTGCCAAACAGTTTCTCTCATTCTTTGGCTGTGAATGAGAAGGCCTCAGAACTAAGCCTGCATAAAACAAGGCATCTACAGGATGTAGATAAAACAGATAAAACAGACACAGATAAAACGGTTTACCCTCAGTTAGTACCATTATTTATTTTAATTAGTTTAAAGTTTTTAAGCGTATCATTGGTTTCTAATGATGTACAATTAATCTTGCACAAAATATTCAAATAATTTAAATGCTTATTGTGTATTGAAATTCCTGGTGAAACATTTCAGAGTGCTGACATCTTGAAAGTCTTCAAAAAACCCATAATTTTATCAGATCAATAATTATTTAGTCTAATAACATTTAGTCTAATAGCATTTTCATTATATGCACACATACATTTATCTGTATGCTTCAGTTTTCTCGCATTTAAAATTTTGTACCATTTGGAGGTCAGTGGGTATACTAGGATCTGAGACTATGCCTTTGAACAAAGGTAAAAATAAGACACAATTGATGCTGTATTAGCTTTGTACAAGCTCATCCACCTGATTGTAGTCGTAAATGAAAATAAGTGGTGTTCCAAAACTAAACCTTGTTTAAACCAGTAAAAAGACTGATGAAATAACAACAGCATCTCTTGTAATCAAATGCCCTTGTGAATGATCCTATAAGAGACCCTTCTTCTGTTCTTGAAAGACAAGCAATTTAAATGCATTTCTACCTTTGTTTCTGTATCTTGCTGCTTATGGCGCTGCCTTGAACTTTTTGTTTGCCAAGGCAGAGCTCCTTTTGTGGATGGAAACTGCTGCCATAGGAAAATGCAGAGCAATGATTCCCAGCCGGTTAGATATTTCGAAGTGAATCTGCATAGGTTCTCCCCACAGTGTAGCATCTTGTAGCCCTTAGACGGGCTAGCAAAGAGAATACTTTCAGTTAAAAAATACTGTCTTCTGTGGATGCATTTTCTGATGCAATTTTTAAAGGCTTATCTCTTCCCTGAAACAGATAAATCTTAGAACAGGATAACCCTCCTCAAAGCTGGAGTTTTCATTTGCACCAGCTTATTTGCTCAGCATTCTTCTTCTTCTTTTTTTTTTGTCAGTCCTTGAGCAAACAGCTAAATACCTGGATAATGCATTCATCTGGCTTTGAATACACATATATTACATACCCCTTTCTTGCTAATCAGTGTGACACATTCTTTTGTTGGCCAAATGGTTCCAAAACAAACACAATCATTTCACTTAATTAGCAGGGGTTGGTGGGCTGTGCCTTGCAGGCTTCTTACATTCTGCCCAAGGAGAGACAAATCCAAGTTTTCTCTCGTTAGACAATGTTCACAAATTCTTTTCTTTTTTTTTCTTATTTGAATTTTATAGTGCCAGGTCTTTCAATCATTAGTCTAAAAATAGAAGTAGTAGTAAATACAACAAGTTATAATGAATGAGTTACATTATGGCCATATAATATATAGTTTGTTTCAAGCAAACAAAAAAGAGACTTAAAGAGGGACTCAAAGTCTACAGTATTTTAGTTCATTTCTTAATCATAGGGATAGAATATTATGGGGTAATAGACTATCATGTTTATGCTTAAAGTGTTAAAATTCTGCAGAATGGCCAGGTTATGTTCTCTCATTGAGATCAGCTTCACATGCTTATTTCATATAAAATTTATAGCAGGGACTCTTTAAAAAGGGAGATGTTCTTCCTTGGAAATACCCCTGAAATAACCATTTAGAAATGGCAAACTTCCTATTAGCTTGCCTGACAGTCTTGGCAGACTTTTTGTTGCTAGAGTCAAATGGGTTACTTTTTTCTATCAGCTACTGGGACCCATGAGATACCCAGTGGAATCCTGAAACGGACTTCTTGTTCAAATTGCAGCGATTTTCCTCCTGTGTTGCACGCGGTGAATGAATTGGGCAACGTGCTGTGTCACCTCTGGTTAACCATGATAGCTGATATGACAGAAGGGGTCTCCATGCTGACTCATGTGATTAAAGAAAACAATCTTTAATCAGTGAAAAGGTGAAATCTTTTAAGATGGACCTATTAGCGAATGAAAGGAGCTTTAAGGAAATCTCTGGCAATTTGGCTGAATTAAAATGCCTAAAATGAGCATTACAAAACCATACCTCTGAATGACAGATAGATAAGTAAGAGAACAAACAGAATCGTGAAAGGTGTGGGTCCTCATTTCCTACTCCAGAGTCAAGCAAAAATGCTTCCTGGTTAGACACTTCTTTGTGAGGAGTTACTTATTTATTGTGTTTTTGAGTCCATTTTTCACTCCTGACCTGGACTAGTCCCTGGAGTTTTTGGCACTTTCGGAAGTGGTTTTCCCTGCCCAGGTCTGACAGAAGAGTGACTAGCCCAAGGTCACCCAGCTGGCTTCAGGTCTAAGGTGGAACTAGAACTCCTGATCTCTGATTTCTAGCTTGATGCCTTCACTGCCATGCTCTGTGAGAATCTCAAAGGTGCTTTTTCTTGAGGAAGATGTTTCCTCACTGAAGCTCCTTAAGCAAAATATAAATGCAACCACTTATTTTTCCTCCAGTGCATAAGTTCTCTCACTAATAGTCACAGACTTACAACTACCGTGTTTCCCTGAAAATAAGACCCGCCCCCAAAATAAGCCCTAGCCTGATTTTTTTGGGTGGGCCTAATATAAACCCTACCCAAAAATAAGCCTAGGGGGATGGGCGTGGCCAGCACAAGAGGCAGCAAGTGCGCAGAGGCCAAACTGAAACTGATTAGCTCAGTTTCAAAGTACCCCATTTGCAAGTAGACGAAGCTTCCAGTCTCTGTTTTTCCATTTATTTAAATTTCTTTTAATACCCATTTTAATCCCATTCCTCCAGATTAGAGCATAAAGAGGAAAAGGAAGCTTCAGTTTGCAATTAATTAATTAGATCTTAACTGGTAAAGAGAGTGATAATCTACTGCATACTGGATCAAGTATCTGAAAGAGTTATTTCTAAGTAGATGTGCAATAAGGTGGTTTATAAAATATTTTGGGAATTTAGAAAATGGAAGCTAATGGGATCTTAAGAATTCCAGCCTGTTCTTCCAGTAGTGTTTTTGATCATCCCATTCTTGCTTTTACTAAGAAATTAGCTGATTATGGATGTTACAGAAAATATGGGTTGTTTGCTCCCCCACAAATTGTTTTACCAAAGTAGTAGTTCTTAAATTATTATCTAAAAATTCTCTTCTCCTTCCCTTATCCCTACATTTAATGCATCTGGATAGGAGTGGCTGATGTGTTTCACTCTTTCATAATCCTCTGGGCATTCATTTCAACAGAAATTCCTGATAAGCTTTTACATTTTCCAGTTGAATGAGAAAAGAAGGAAAGGGAGAGGCCATGAATGAATACAAAATGACATTCTCATCAATCATTAGTCTCCAGCCATTGCAAGGAACTGCAAGTCACTAATGAAAGGGGAATTAACTTTATAGTCAGCATTAGTGTCAGAGGAGATGATTTAAAATTTTACAGTCATAAGTGTTTTCTTTGGCTATTGTTTAAACTCACACTTAGGTGGACAATATGTTTCTTGAATCCAGTAAAGAATGAGTAGCATGCTTTAATTAATATTGTAAGGTCAACAAGAGATTTCAAGCAAATGTTGAGCATTTTTATTTATTTTATTTATTTTATTAAATATATATGCCACCCATCTCGCTGTCATGCAACTCTGGGCAACTCACAATCTGATAAAATAATGTTATAAAAGATCAAATCAGTAAGACAATAAGACAGTGATGGCGAGACCGAGTGCCCAAAAACTGGCCCCGCCCCTGCTCCACCTCCTGCCCCACCCCCTGCCTGCCTGCAGGGCCACTCACTGCCTCCAGGGCCTGCTGCAGATCGGCCAGCAGCGCCATGGCAGCCACACCCTCTGCCCACACCCCACAGCATCAACTGTGCGCGATGGGCCGTGAGGGCAGAGTCTTGTCTACGCTGCCTGGCTGCCGTGTCCTTGACTGCGCTGCTCCACATGGACCACGCTCAGGGGCAACCCTTCTCCAGGAGGGCTGCTGGTGAGGAGGGTGTCATGGGGGGAGGCAAGGTTGGGGCAACAGCACGTGTGCCCACAGAGAGGACTTCGAGTGCCGCCTCTGGCACCCGTGCCATAGGTTCACCACCACTGCAATAAGACAATCCTGCATGTTGTTAAACTGCACATAAACCACTGATTTCAGTAATGACATGCAGAGTCGCAGACCAATTGTCTTACTGAATTATGTGTACACTAAATAAGCACAATGTAGAAAAAGAGTGGAGTATGGAGTTGTCTCAATCTCAGCTAACTTCAACCCAGAATTCCCAGCAATGGGCATGCTGGTTGGGAAAATCTAGAAGTTGAAATCCCTGTATCTGCAAATTACCACAATTAGAAAAAAATGGCTATAGGAATCTGAGCATCCTTTGTACCCAACATTCTCTATGACTGGCTGTCAGAAGTAATGTACCTGATCCCAGGAAACTAGGAGTTAGGGATTCTGCTAATGTTAGAGAGATGATCTTTTGGATAGCAGAGAAAAGGTAGAAACCTGAGTATAAATGTATAAATATCTCATTTTGTGCCTACAGGTGTGAAAGCTGCAGTGCTGTCTTCCATTCAGAATGCAAAGAGAAGGCCGTTCCATGCCCCAGGTGTGTGAGGAGAGAGCTACAGATGAAGCAGAAATCTTTTTGGAGAAGACTGAATATGGATGAGAGCCTGGAAGAGGCCTGCAACATGTTTGAATTGTCCTGTCAGAATACATGATCTGAAGGGGAAATGTGACAACCTACACTCTTTCCCAGAATGGAATGAATGCTTCTAAGGCACTGATTCATTGCCAGGGAGACTACTTTAGTACAAAAAAAGTGTATATGTATCTTTTGTTCCTGAGTAGCTGGAGTTCAGAATGCTAAGAAAATCAAAGGCTAAACTCTAATTATGAACTGGTTAGGGAACCAACTGGTCTTATACCAAAAGTAGTTTACTTGAAATATTTATTATTGACTGCATTGATTGCATTCTCTTTGCATTGAAAGATCTCATTAGCTTGTATCTATTACTGGACTTCCAGTGATTTTTCTTTCTGGTAGAAATAGATGGCATTGCTATTTAAAGTTCACAAACTACTTAGGACAATGTGCCTGTGGACAGGTATTTGTAGAGCTTTTTGCAGCTTAGAAAGATAATTTAATAAACCGCTTGTATGAATATTTTCCCTGCTCAGAATCAAGCCAGTTCCACTTTAGAAGCACGGCATGGTAATTGTCCTTACAACCTCTGTAAGCCCAGTGCTAAAACCTGCTTAGGTCTTATGTTAATATGCACAAATACTAGAGAAATTGCTTTCAGTGGTGAAATATTCACAGTTGAATACTTGTTCACAACACACTTATTCACAAATCATTAATTCAGATTCTGATTTTCCCACATGTAACACCATAAAGCTTAAATATTTAATCACCTTTAATGTTAAATAATGTACGTTGCTTTGCTCATACCTTGTAGAAGACATTTCCTGCATTTGGATGATGGAACTGGAATCTGACTCTTTGCTGCATTTAACATTCATATTCTAATAGTATATATACCAAGGCTCTGAGTACTGTAGCAGAATCAGTAAGAACTTGAATACTTCATCCTGAAAGTGAGATTACTTGCATACTTTTAAATTCTGCACTAAAAAGCGCCAGGACATATGCTTTAACCACTTAACATGCAACATTTGGAAGTAATGAAAATATTACAAAAATAGTTCTAAATCAATCTTTGGACTTTCAGTATTCCTTTTTTTTGATACAGCAAAGGGAATATTGGAAGTTTTTACTTCTGCTTTCAATTAACCATAGTTTAATATTATATTCCAGTCCAGAGAGCAACAGGGATAAGTGTTTACTATGATTAATTGAAACAAGCCATCTTTAAACCTTGTTTTTAATATTTTCTTTGCTATAGTGAAAGGATAGTATAAGCTTTATCTGTAATTATAAATCTGGCTTGTACTGGTATATATTAAATCAAGAGTAGCCACTTAATTTGTGCAGGCAGCGGAACACATATTTCTTTCTCTACTTCCCCTCAAACTGCCAAGTTACTATCTCTAGAAATGGGCATGTGTTATGTTGATTTGTTATAGGCTGGCTGTGGCAATTGTACATTCGGAAGACAATCAGCAGAGAGCTGGCAGTGACTAGGAGAACCACAGTGCATGTTATTTAAATTTATTTATTTTATTTAATTGATAAAGTCACCCATCTCACACTTGTTGATGTGCTGCTTGGTTCTTCTGGACCACTTGGCACCCAGTTTTTATGTGCAAATAGGCTAACTGCAAATGATGCTCCTAAGGAATGGTCATCTGCTTTATTTTTTAAATTACTTTCATATCTGCGCAGAGCCATGCATTTGTCAGTAAGCTGACGCCCATATATTACATTGTGATTTGTTTTCATTGCTTCTTTTATTTAAACATAAGTGATAGAAGAGAGAGAGAAAGAAAGAATGAGTGATTGTGTATTTGACTTTTCCATAATTTCCAGAATCCAGAGCGAAGAAGAAGCTGGTATAAATAACCTGCTTTGTTTTGATGTTTGCTTTTGGGAAAAGGATATCTTGGAACTTCCTAATTATTTTAATTTTTAAGGTTTCCTAATTATTTTATTTTTTAAATTATTTTAATTTTTAAGGATTCACTGGGCAAGTGAATCAAGCATGTGGAATGTGTGTTTATACCAGCTTTTTTCAATGTATTGTAATGTTTTATTATTTTTGTACATCTCCTTAAGTTTCCCCATCAATTTCTTCATTTTATCCAATGAGTCATTAAAAGTGAAGTTAAAGGATGGCTTTAGTGTGTCACTGCGTACAGCTCACATCCACCCTCTCAGTTCTTTGTTTTGGGTTCACTATGCTCTTACTGTTGGTTCTCAGTTTGCTTTCTTTGGAACAATTGGTTGCTACCACAATAGATGAACATTGTCTCAAATCTATATTTCTGTATTATACTAATCAGAGACCTCCTCAGTTTCCTGCTTTGAAATTGCCTTAATTTACTCTTCCTCTGCAATGGGCTGCTGTGATAATATAAAATGTTTTTCAGCCTGTGGAGTTCTCATGGTGATGCTAAGAGTCGTTACGATATTTTTGAGGCCAAAGGTGGTCAACAAGTCCTGTTAATACGCTGCATGTATTTTGACCTCCAGGTCAACCTATAGTTAGCTCCCAGAAGCCTGAATAAGGCAGCGACAACAGCAACTACAACTGCCCCTCAGTGCAAAATATATCTGTGTTAAAGAGAATGTAGGGTTGTTGTTCACAATATATTTCTGTTAACTGCATCTGCATGGAATCTGATAAGCATGTTCCCCCAAATCCTTCAAACTGCAGAGTCCTGCCACAATTCTGCAAGAGTTCAGTGGCACATTTTTAATTCCAGTGGGACTTGTGCTAAGTATAATGCAGCCTATCCTTTTGCCTTTGTAACTAGGGGTATTTCCCAGCAAGGACATTTGGTACCGTTTGTTAATTTCCACAGAAGGCCCGGCCAGTGCTGCTTCTCTGTGTCACCCACTGCCACTTCTGCCTCTCTTCCTACTATAGAAAATCCATTAAGGAGAGAAAGATTGAATGACTGCAAAGATAACAAGCTGCATGTGAAGCAATATTTTGGATATCCAGAATGGAGGTATTTTTTTATTTGATTAGTGGTAGGTATAATTTGCTCACTCTTTGATTAGAACAAAATTTTGGCAGACTATGACAAGAAACTTTTGCCACTGCTGGAAAAGGTTGAAATGGCTTTTGTTAGTTAATAAGTGAGGAAGAGCTGAGGAAAACTACTCCATCCCTCTTTTACCAGTAACCAGTTTCTATTGCACAGCCAGCCCTGTGCAGATTTCTTCCTTTGGGCTCTTCCTTTGCAGATATTTACACTTTATAATAATAATAATAATGATAATAATAATGAAGTTGGAAGGGACTTTGGAGGTCATCTAGTCCAACCCCCTGCTCAGGCAGGAAACCCTATACCATTTCAAACAAATGACTGTCCAGTCTCTTCTTAAAAACTTCCAGTGTTGGAGCATTCACCACTTCTGGAGGCAGGTAGTTTAAATTTAATTTAATTTAAAAATTACAAATGGTAGAAAAATAAAACAAGGAACTAAATAAGCACATCATTATCTCATGGTTAAATAGGGAACTTCCCATTTGGGAAAATTTTTCTCTTATTTAATCAATACATTACAATACAATATTATACTTCCTGCCATAAATAGTTTAACTAAGGTTACTGCTGTTTGACTATATAGACTGAAGTAAACAGTTTTTTCTTTGGCTAGAAATGAATAATAATTTATATACAAAATTAAAATTGCACATTGGTAAATATAATTTTTCACAGGATCTGGCAATATCAGTTTAGAACAATTGTGTGTTTAAAACTGGAAGCATGCTGCTCTAATAGGAAGCTGCTTTCTACATGGGAAAAAGAACTGTCAACAAGTATGAGAAATAAGGACATCCTAGTGAGTGCATTTTGACAGTATGACTTGGCCTCAAAGCTGCCTGCCTTTTGATTGCTGATTTTTTTTGGATGCAATGCTATGTTCTTCCTGACACCAAGTCACATAGAGGGGGCTCTAGAATTACTGGGAAGGCTGCATTTCTAAGGAAATATTTTAGAGGATTAGAATAATGGTAAGAGGTGGTTTCATTCTATTTAGTTGCTTATGCTGTTAAATTCCTACCTCTTCTGGGGTCTGGAAAGGCGAGGTACTTTATATAAAACCTGTAAATTCAGGTTTTGTGTAACTTCACAGGAAAAAAAATACTATTTTTTTAGTTGTTATTAACATCTGAATTTATTTGCTAAAGTTTTGTCTTCTTTTTATGTTGCCACATTGATGTGGTTGTTATTTGCGGCATTATTCATGTAATAACAAGAGATCTTCTACTGCTTTTTGAATTCTTTCCTGCATAGACATGCCTGTGGAATTCTAAATATCCAGAGGAGGTTTCCAAAACAGGATGTCTAAAGTATGGATCTAATGTAACAGATCCCAGAACATGGATTTATGGCAAGTTGAAAACATTTTTGGTGCTAGTACATGGAAAGTACGTATAGCTTTATTAGAACTGGGATGCAACAGTAGTCTATGCCATTCACTGGATGATTTCAGCATATGGAATATATGAAGGACTTTATCTTGCATGTAAGCATCACTTACTGTCTTAATATTTATTTATTAATTTTAGCTCAGACATAAATAATTATCATTTGGGAATCCATATGTAAAAGGACTGATTGTTTTTCTTTTGACACTTTATTAAGAATTAAGCAAGGAGGTCTTAGCTCTTCATATCTAGAAATCATTAACTAAAATTCAGTAATTGTGTTTGGAAATTAAGAGTTGCAATCTCATACACACTTAGAGAGATTTGCTTGTGATTAAACCTGGATAGTAGCATAGAGTTGCTCTTACATCTTGTTAAATTGAAGCTTGCAAAAATTACTGTGTTGTGCATATATGGATAATAATATTTATTATTATACCAGGCTTCCAGTATTATTTGTGTTTACATCAGCCTCATTTATACAGAAATTAAAATAGACAAAATTCCTTGAGGTCAATATATTCTCAGACTAGAATGTTTTTGGAAAGGTTTGCAGGACCACTGCACAAAGAAGTTATGATCAGATTCTTAAGATGCAAAGGGAACAAAAGATCCTGTCTTGTGGCAATTCAAACCTTGCAGCTCTGAAATGCCTCCCTAACTACCAAGGATTTCAAGTGGAACATATTTTTTCAGAGCTCCTTGGCAAGACTGGAAATGTTTCCCTCACAAAGTCTGTTCTTTGGTATCTGTTGTGGCCTTTTCATGCATGATAGGTCAACATGAGAAGAGGCTGATATTTTAAATGTACAACTTCCTTTGTACAAGATCCAGTTCTCAGTTACTAAGCCTCTGGTGTGGCCCCCAACCTTTTGGGCACCAGGGACCAGTTCCATGGAAAGAGGTTTTTCCACAGACCGGAGAGGACGTGGTTTTGTGTACTGCTTGAATCCCGTGGATGGGGCTTGGCTTGTTTGCATGGCCCAATTTCTGGCATGCCACGGCCTGGTGCCGGTCCACAGAGTGGGGGTTGGGGACTCTTGGCTTAAAGGATCTTGGATAGGAAGACTAGAGTAGATGCAGAATGGTGCACATAGTGGCAAGCCAGATGGACCAATCTAATATTGGCAGCTTTCCCTAGCAAAATATGCTGTGTGCTTCCATTTTCATGACAGAAATATAAACTATTTAATAACCATGTAGTATAGCAGTGGTGGCGAACCTATGGCACGCGTGCCAGAGGTGGCACTCGGAGCCCTCTCTGTGGGCACACGTGCCATTGCCCCAGCCCCACCTCCCCCCACGGCCCCCTCACCAGCAGCCCCCCTGGAGGAGAGTCGCCCCCAGGCGTGGCCCGCACGGAGCAGCGCAGCCAAGGACATAGCCAGGCAGCAGGGACAAGACTCCACCCTTGCGTCCCATAGCATGCAGATGATGCTGCGGGGTGTGGGCGGAGGGCGTGGCTGCCATGGTGCTGCAGGCCTGCCAGGGCGATCTGCTGCGGTGAGCCATGGAGGCGGTGCGTGGCCCTGCAGGTGGGCGGGGCAGGGGGTGGGCGGGGTTACAGCAGGCAGGGCGGAAGGTGGAGGGGGGGTGGGGAACGCTTTTTGGGCACTTGGTCTCTAAAAGATTTGCCATCACTGTAGTATAGCAATAGAAGCATCATGCTGAGTCATGTGGTGATTGGGGTGGGGGCGGGGGACATATAGTATTCCATTGGTAGCCTGAAGAGAAGTTTGCCAGTTACAAATACAGCGCAAATGTACTTTGGATGAATAAATAATGAAAAATGCTTGGATAAATTTAAGGGACCTGTAAGCATTGGGTTGTCATAGCAGGTTCCATTTTTGTTTATGTCTTTTGAAACAAATGGGAGAACTTTAATTTAAAAATGGCCATTGTATTTTACCTTATAAATTCACTGTTGTGGAAATTCTATACACTTGTGTAATGGGACACATCGCTGTTAGCTGTAGAGTGCTTTGGTATAAATTGGTACATAGGATCAACAGATTCTTGTGATCTGAATTTTTTCCCCAAGACAATAAATTTGTGGGTTAAGAATATGTGATTGTATGAAAGAATACATGTGTAGAATTGTTATGATGCTAAATTCATAGGCTAATTTTTAAAGATGTGGGTTTTTTCAAATATATTTCACTTATGAAAGAATAAGTCCATATTTTTAGTGGAATTTTAACTTTGTGTATTATTTCTGGAACCTGTTGCGCAATATTGAAGATGGTTATTATTTTATACAATTATTGGGTAAAGATGTGCCCTAAATGATTCATTAGCTAAACACTGGTAAATGGTATTCATGTTGTGTCGCAATTAACAGTAAATGGTCTTTTTTTAAAAAAAGGTTTTATTTTAATGAAGAATATTCCTTCATAGTTGGTATATGTAGAGATAACTATAAGATAGTTATAATATAAATACAAGATTAGTAGTGTATTTCATAATTTACTCTAATGTTCCCACATGCCAGTATAAGCTTACTTATAACCAGAGAAGCTTTGATTGTATAGGAATCTTTGAAGTATAGGAAATTGCTTGAGGTACATAGCCAAAATAGCTAGTTTGATGTAATACAGGTAATCCTTGATTTATGACCACAATTGACCCCAGAATTTATGTTGTTAAGTGTGTTTTGCCTCATTTTAAGATTTTTGTTGCCACAGATGTTAAGTGAATCACTGCAGTTGTTAAGTAAGTAAC